TTTCATTACTATAGATTCTGTTAAGTCGTCTTAAAAAGTGTTCCATACGCTCTCATATTTTATTAAGTTCTCTTTGTAGTGCTCTTTTTCCAAAAACCTGGTTAGATTCATTTATTTTATGTGTAAAAAATGCACACCTTTTAGTCGTTCTCTTATAATCCTTATAAACTCTTATACCACTTCATTTAAAAATAGTGCAGTATGGTACGAAGGAGTTTTCTGTCACTATAGATTTTTGTTAAGTCGTCTCTGAATTATTCCCTATGATCTAATGTTTCATTATGTTGTGTCCTAATTTTTCCAAACAAATAGTATTTCTGCTAGTGTGTATGGAATTTTATTCTTACAATAGCATCTTATAGTATTTCTTTTGCCAATACATATAGATTAGATATTACCATGTTAAGTCCTTAAGCTAAATTCTATATGAGGGCAAATTTTTTTTCGAAAAAGTAAAAGGATGATCATATACACAAAATCAATTTTAAAACATATCTAATTTCAATAAATTATATCCAACTAGAAAGTAACTACGAAGTCTAAATATATCTTCAGTATCAAAAAAAAATCAAATTTTTTGTTATTCTAAAAATAAATTTGTCAAAATTGATATGAAGATGGAAAAGCAAATCTGAAAATGGATGTTGAAATCTTATTATAGTTTATGATAAGCTTTAAATAACGCCAAACAAAATTAGTGTAGTAGGAGAAAAACAATGAATGTTCGAAGTCTTTGTAGTATAGCTTACATAAATAATGGAGAAAATTGGATGCATTTGTAACGGTGGCGTAGAAATTGAAGCATATTTCGCGGCGCATAACGAAAACAACAAAAGCTATACTACAGATGAAATGGTAAGAAAGAAACGTCTCTGTGAAATATGCGCTTAACGAGAAAATTGGATCTATTTGATGCGCTCTCGGCACAAAGGCAGACTAACAGCTCACAGAGGAGGGTGTGAATGGAATGGCATTTGTAGTATACATCACGGGGCTGCGGAAATGAATGTTGTTACTATTAATTCAATGAAGTGTAATTGTGTATGGATTCGCTTTCGACTCTCCTTGCTGTTTGGCTAATGCAATAAATATTTTATAAATTTTATATTCTTTGATTAAATTATGACTTTCTAGTGCAACTTGCAAAGCTTGCGGTTATGTTAGCGTAGTACGCTCGTTGACTGCTCCCATTGGCAGTGGTGGTACTGATGTTTTTTGAGAATTTCATGATTTTCACGGTATCTGTGATACAACGGCAATGGGTGGTAAATAGGCTTTGGCTTGTTATATTGCATGTTAGTTTGGCAAAAACATTTTTTGCAGCTACGAAGGGTGTTTATGATGTTTTTGTGTAGTACTCGTAATGTGCATATTTCTCGGTTTGCTGACTAAACCAACCAGCAACCTATGCCGTACCATCTATTTTTAGCAAGTTTCATTTGAAAAATTATTTTTATTACTTAAAATTTTTTTTCTCTCTACACATTTTGCAATATCACAAATATCATTAAAATGAAAAAACCATAGCAGATGTCGTAAATGGCCAAAATGCATGCGAATGAGATTTTTTCTGGTACTTCTACTGCTGCCTTTGTGCACTTGTGATTTGCTTTAATGTTTTGGGTTTTGTATTGCAAAGTGTAATGCATATTATTGATGTGTTTTTACATGATTAATTTTTAATATTTATTGAAAATTAATGTTATTAATACAGATACAACATACGCATTTTTAAGTATTAAATTATTTCTTACATACTTATATAAGAAGAGGGTTGGCAGTTCCTGATATAGATGATATATTTAATGTGATGTGTTTGATTGCAGTGCATCACTACATTAAATAAAAAATATAAAAATAATTTTTTTACATTATAAAGTACTATAAAATTGTTTAAATTTTATTTTCTTCAACACTTTAATCCTTTGCAAATGTTATACTAGATATATAAATTTTGCATGAACAATTTTGGATGCCTTTCTAATCCTGTTCTGTAATCCTGGGTATAAAAATTTTGTCTTGAAAACTATTAGGTCTATTCACACATACCATATAGAGTAGGGAGAAAAATTATTTTAACAGAATATACATTAAAATTAAAATAAAAAAGACAGATGTCAAGATCTTAGAGTCTGACCTGCTAAAACTTTTACGCGGTTGATGTCGGTCGATTTGACTGATTGTCGATTTTACTGTAGAGTGTTGTGATGGATCCAAGTTTAAAAATATTTTTTATTATTATGTTTAAATAAATGGATTACATCTTTCGCTATATAAAATGTTAGCACTAAATAATATTCGTATTGTCTTTTGATAGGTTTAAATAGTTTGCAGTCTCTCTGAACTTCTCTTTGCGATAGTTCAAAATGACTCTTTAGTGTTTTTTGGACGTTTAAGAGTATGAGCATTATCGGTTTCTGTATGGTTTATATTGAAGTTCACCAAGCTACCAACAAACAGCAGTACCCAATTGCATGTTTGTGTACCTCTCTATCTAAGGGTTTACAATAAGTTAGTCTTTCAGTTTTTTAAGCTTATCTAATAACATTTTTTACTAATATTTTTTGTGAATTCTTAAAAATACACAAGATAATTAGTTGGCGAAATACTCTAAAAGTCAACGTAATTCTAAGATGGGAATCTAAAGAAAAGGAATTAAGTTTTTTTTTCGCTTCACTAAACAATAAATCTATTTAGGAGTTCATAAATTTTTGAAAGAAACATTATATGTGCCATTCTTTTACAAATCGGACACATTTTCGACTGAGATTTGGTCGAAAGCGTCATGGGTTTCAATATTTTTTCTCGAGATATGGGTCTTTTGAGAAAGGACTTCACTAAAAAATGTAGCTAAATCGAACGAGATCAGTTAATTTTTTGCTAAGAGGAATAATCCATATATATTAGATCATATATAATTTTTGAATTAAATAAGTTGATTAAATAAAAATTATTTAATTTACAATTCAACATTTATTTACTTTTGCTTCCAAAGTTAGAGTTGTAACAGAAGGAGGTTTGTGATGTATACTTATAGTTAGATTTAAGAGGTAAGCGATAAAAACAAAAAGGTTATAAATAGTAGGAACATAATTATATACCTATATATATCTACAAAAAATTTTTAGGGAAAAGCAAATCTTATTCGTTTATAGTAAATGATCTGTTTTAAGATTATTTAATATATATGAGAATATTGCCTTAGTTGATTGTGGATCAATGTAGTTGAAAATTTGAGATTTATTGTCTCTGAAGACTGTAAGTAAGGTGGCACTAAGATAGTGATTTCGTATTGAGGAGTAAATGGGGCACTCAAACATAAACTTAAATATAAACATTAAATAAAAGTAAAGATTATATCATATGTAGTTTTTTGCCATTTCATAACTAATATTAATTTATATCCAAGAAAATATATTTAAACTATATTTCATATCATAAATTTTTTAATAAATAATTTCCATTGTATGGAGTTCTCTGAATTAAATTACTTTGAGTAAAATATTACAATTTCATTTCATTTCTATTTAAAAGTAATTAATCACTATCAATGATATATATTCCATTTACATACTTAATGATCCAAAGAATGTGTACACCATAAATATTAAGGTAGAACCTATTAATCAAATGCTTGTAATAATCGCATTGGCCAACTGCAATGGTAATCAGGTAAGCCAACGTGTACTTTATAAAACTATTAAATTATAACTGCACGACAATTAATGAATGATAAGCCCTCAACATTAATGCATAAATAACAAGGATATAAATAATGGAAATATTTAAATGCAACTTTTCAGAAATGCAACTTCTTCGGAAAGACAAGCAATGTATGTCCACAAATGCAGTCATGTGGGTAATAACAATTTAGCCGAACATTAACGGCATAAAAGTTGATACCAATACCAAGTTGAGAATGTTTGCCTTGTCAACAACAATAACAACAATACTAACAAAAAGTCAAAACAACAATAACAACAAGAAAACAAGAAAACAAGAACTTAACAAAAAGTAACTTTTTCATTGCTGCTGACAGCACAATAAATATTGTGTTTGCCTAAAAATATAAACAAACCGAGTAGAAATACTATAGAATCACCATCACCAACAGCAGTGCTTGGAAAACCGTTCGGGTACTGAAGGATAAAACAACTGCAATTGCTGCAATTGTCAAACTTGTCCACTAACTGTTAAGTCAAAGCCGTGCTGAAGTGGAAACAGCGAAATGCAAGGAATGGAAAATGGAAAATGTTTTAAAAACTTTCACAACATAATTTAGTTTCGTTAGTCACGCAATGAAAATGTTTTCAGCTTTGAATGTTGAGCGAAATTCTTTTGAATACCATTTCTCCCTTCAGAACCATTTCTCAACATCCTACATCCTTTTCCCTATCAAAATAGGGAAAATAGTAGAAAATATTGCATTTGCTGAACAACTCAACTAACTTTGAAATTAAAAGACTTAACTTTTTAATAGCCAAAAATGTCAATTCTTCCTATTTATATTAACTCTTCTGTCATGTGTAATAAGAAAACTATATGGGACTCTTATGGGATGCACTGGACAATCTTACGAATATATAAAAGATTTTAGAATAACTTCGGACATTCATGCAGTGAGGCTGCCCTTTTCCTAGCACGCTTGTCTGCAAATTGATTACTAAGACTGCTAGTGTGACCCGGAAGCTATAGAAAGATTTACATCTAATTATTTTGTTTAAAATGTCGACATAAGTGTTTTGAATACCTTCTATATTAACAGTAAGCAATATTGTTAAAGCTTCTTAAATAATTATAATACATCATCGAATGTGATGTTTAACATACCCTCTGCTCAAAAAGCATCCGGATTTTGTTGTTTGTTAACTACTCCTTAAGTAATACTTTTCTTGACATATGGTTCAAATTTGAGCGCCATCTGTCAATTAGTTTGTTTACAACAGCTGTTAATGTGAGACTAACTCAAGTGCATTTAGCGATTTTTACTATGGATAATTCTTGTTGTACGCGATTTTTTGACCAAACACGGCACCACTGTCATCGCTCAGGCACCATATTCGCCAGATCTGGATCCGTGCGACTTTTTCCTGTTCCCGAAACTCAAATTGCCCCTTCGTGGTAATCGTTTTGAGTCGATTGAATTGGTAAAAAAGAATTCGCTGAAGAAACTAAACGTAATACCTTCACAGGCCTACGAAAAGTGTATGGAAGATTGGGTTAAGTGTTGGCATATGTGTATCGCTTCAGAAGGAGCATATTTTGAAGAAGATGAAATAAATTTGGAATAAAATTTAAATTTGTGTGTTTTATTTACAAAATTCGAATACTTTTTGAGCAGAAGGTATCGATAGAAGTCTTTACTACAATATAACTTTACAATATAACTTCTTTTTATCGGGAAATAGATTTTATTAATAAAATAAAATAGATTTTATTCGCAAAAAAAGCAAAGGTTGCATAGCACCAAATCAGTTGAATACGAGTTGTGGTTCACCTTACCAATGGTTGTAATTGCCAATAAACTGGTCTCACTACAATTAAAAAGTTATATATTCTTCGGGACATTATAATATTATAACAGAATAAACAGTAATCAGTACGTCTTCAACTAAGAACCAACCAATGGTTGCGATCCCTTTTCCAAAAACAAAAAATATTAATGAAATATAGCAAAAATAGATATGGATATACCTAGATGTCAATGTCAAAAATAACACAAACAAGTCAGAACTATAACAAAAACTTGATATATAGGTCTGCACTGACCTTACTATAACTTCGATTTGTAAAACAGATAAATTACAACTTATTTGAAAAAAAAAAAAAACTAATAGTAGCAATTAATATTAGTTTAATCTTTTTGATGCCGGGAATGCAACAACTTTGTAAAATTTCTCCTCACCACCTTGCTTTTGTCTTAATACTACCAGTTAATTAACATACATTAAGACTGAAAAGTTTTCGGAAATTCTCATTTAAAATTCGCGCGCTGTATATTTTTCGATATTTTAAGTTTATGTAGTTTGGCAGCACTGTCCTTATTTACTATGCCAAAAATGAGCGCGATCTGTCAGAGACAGTTCGTTTACGGCAGCTGTTGAAACCAGTTCACCTCAGTAGTGCGTTGCGAAATGTCTTCGACGGTCGTACGACCGTCCTGGAAGGCTTTGTACCACTCATAAACTTGAGTTTTCGATAAAACTGATTCCCCATAAGCCTTTTGTAGCATTCGCAACGATTCTGCACACGAAATTTCGTTCGAAACACAAAATTTGATGCAAACTCTTTGTTCAATATTTTTTTCCATTGTTTTTTTCGCAACGCACTACTGAGGTGAACTGGTTTCAACAGCTGCCGTAAACGAACTGTCTGACAGATCGCGCTCATTTTTGGCATAGTAATTGTCCTTAATTTCTGCCAAACTACATAAACTTAAAATATCGAAAAATATACAGCGCGCGAATTTTAAATGAGAATTTCCGAAAACTTTTCGGTCTTAATGTATGTATATCGACTTTACTTTAACACTATTATACCCTACACTACTATGACACTATGGTATTATACCAGTTTCCATATTAGATTGAACATACAAATATATACAGTTACCATAAACAAATCAAGTCTCAACCTGTGCCTGCAGCATAAATTAATAAGAACAAAATGCAGATAAGAATCGCCAACCGCTGTTCTAAGCAGATTGTTTATCTGCTGTTGCTGCTGTTG